TGCTGCAGGTTTTTTTCCCCCAGAGGTGAAGTACCTTGCATTTTTCCATATTGAATGCCATCAGGTTTATATCCACCCACTTACTAAGCTTATCCAAGTCAGCCTGGATCACCAGCCTGTCCTTAGGTGCGGACGCTATGCCTCAGGGCTTTGGGGGTGGGGCGTAAGGGGTTGGGGGCACAGGCAGTGTTTTCCTCGATCCTCCCAGTTTTGGGCTATGGGCTGAGGAGGGAGAGGAGGATTGAGGTAATTAAGCAGAGGCACTGGTGTCATCGTGAAGGCTTTGGCTTCCATGATCACAGTCCTCTCTTTACTGTGGGTCAGGAGGTGCTCAGGGGGATGGGGGAGAAGTGGGGGGATGGGGCTTGTATATAGATTAGGCTCACAGATTGTGTGTACATACTAAAAATACCACTTGAGTGCACGAAGTGGAACATGATGCTGCCCTGGGGTGTCTGTGCATGGGTAGAAGCAATTTGGTTGGAGTGGCTAGGCACAGCAGAGTAATACTGTGTGACGTCCACTGGGCAGAAGCTTTCATTGGGAGTCACCTCATCTCCACCACATTCCCTGGGCTGGCTTCCAGCTGTCAGCTGTCTCAGATCATATCTACATTACATGTATTACATAGAATTCAGCTAAAAAACTTTAGTATCAGAGTCACTAAACATTAATATATTTTTTTCTGACAGTCCACACATCCTCACATCATTTCCTTAACTCTTCTCTGCACTCATCCTGTCATTATGAATACTATTAAACATTATGCAGTCTTCTGGAACTGGTCTCAACAAAAATATGAGCAGGGATAAAATTCCTGACCAATTTCTATTTTTAGTTGTATCTATCTCATAAATTGCAGTGTAGAAGATCCAGGTTTTGCTGATCAGGGGAATAGAAGCGGTCCAGGAAAGATATGAGACACTATATTGTGCATGATCATTTTTATTTGACTAACTTCATGGTTGGGATAGTCGTAAGCAAGCTTTTGGGTATCACTGTATCCTTCCTCAGGCCTCTGGGATACAAGCAGACACAGAGAAGTTCAGGGGCAAATGTAACAAAAAAGCTTGTGTAAAAGTCCATATGTAAACAAAAATAAGATATAGTCTTCCAAACGTTTTAGGCTATTACAAAGAAAGCACAAAAAGACAAAACAAGAGAAAGAAGAGGAAGAAGAAAAGGAGCAGAAGCAACACAAACTACACCCTTAAAATGAAATACAATCAAATAAAATATTGCTGAAATCCAAACTAAGTTTGCTTTTTGAGGTTCAGGTTTCTAAACTGAATGCAGAAGTCTTTGGGGTAGGCCAATGACATAGTGACATCACATTAAAAGAGTTTTTTGACTGTTCACTTTACAACACAGTAAATGAAAACTGACCCCCAAAATGCTGTCCCTTGTTGTATTCAGGGTTATCATTATATTAAGCATGAAGTTATATAATGTAGAATAAGGGGGATTCAAATACCTGAAGGGTGATTAGACTATAGAGAGGATGGAGATGGGCTTCTCCCCATGGCTGTGAGAGACAGGACTAAAAGCAATGGCCTCAAGCTGTAACAGTAAAAGTTTAGGTTGGAGATTAGGAGGAGGCTTCGACTATGAGGGTGGTCAAGCCAGGCTCCCGTAGAGAAATTGTAGAATTTCTATTGGAAATGATCAAGAGCAGGATAGACAGACACTTTTGTGGGATGATTTAGTCAGGGATGTTTCTGCCCCTGACTCTGTGAGGTCCCTTTCAGCCTTGCTTTCCTATGATCTTATGATCCTATTACAGGTTAGTTTGACTTGCTATAGTATGGGAACAAGAAGATAAAAGTGATAATGGATGGGCTGGCAAGTATACAAAAGCAGTATCTCCCAACATTTCCTTTTAAGTTCTATAATGGTTTGTCTGTCTATGCCTGAGGATGAAAAATGTATTTTTAAGTATATATTGGTAATTAGAAGAGAGACAATCTTCCGACCATGACAACGGCAACAAAAGTGGAAAAAAATAAAGCTTGGAATTAATTAGCATAGGATAGTTAATGCGTTCTAACAATAGTATAATGATCAGGTCTCAAAAGGATTTAATCATGAGGAATAGAAGCAAACCTATTGCAACTAAAGCTTATATATGCTCATTCCAAAAATGAGCTATGTAATATCTTTGAATTTGATTAAACTGGAAATAACCAGTCTTGAAGACAGAAGGATTACAACACAACATCCAAAAATCATATTATATTTACTGGACTTGCAGGTAGGGTTTTTTTTTTTTCCTGTCTGACATACCAGGGTCTTTTCCCCATTCAGTGATTTAAGGGTGAATCTGTTACCTGTGTGATAAGTAAAGATTTCTTAGGGTAATAACTAAGAAATCCTTGCTTCTCTCATAATTTCTGAACCATCATGGCTACAACATTGTTCTTACACTAGCTGTTATATGTGGGGGAGAGACTTTTGGTTTTTAAACCTTGGAACTGTATGATACTCAGAGATGTTATCTGGGGAAGCTAAAAGGACTGGACTTTTAGTTGGAATACATTTGGTTTATGTTCAATAGTTTTAGGTTCACTTACAGTAATTTCAGAACTGGCTCCCAGCCCACATTGGAGACACTTTAATTTTTGCTAATGAAAAGGTGTTTTAACAGCAAAATATTAAATGTGAGATGACTTGATTTATTTTTCCTCCTCCTCATTCAGTTGTATGATATCTGTTAGACTGGAAAGAGTAACAGCATCATGATATCAGTATGCTCATAACGCATTTTTCCTGCAAACATACTGGATTTTTTTTTGTATTTCATACTTGTGAAGACACCTACATAATACTGTGAGGAAACATTTATTCTTTGGAGAAGCATTACATTGATCAAGCTGGTACATGATCAAGAATGCTGTTATCATCATCATCATCAATACCAACATTGACATTAAATTGTTAAATAGTTTCTGTCCAGTGACGACTTTTGTGGTGACTGGGGCGGTTTGTAAAGCAGCAAGACTAGTTTTTAACTGAATATATTCAACAAATATTCACCAGATTTAAAAAATTTTTTAAAGTTCAATTTTGATGGAGAGGCCCCGGGTTCATAGCCATATGGATAGTTCCTTCTTGTTTTATCCACCCTTTATTTTTGCTACAATATTTATCATCATTTCATGAAATAAATGTGACTTTGTAAATTATATGTGGCATGGCTTTTATTTCCTCTTCCTAGAATAATGAGTGTTAGGTACTCAGCTGGTGTGCATCAGAGTAGAACCGATGTAGCCAAAACAATTAGAAAAAAAGAATATTAGTCAAAGATTCATTATGCAAATATAAGAATTGTCCATATTTTGACCCAGTTTCTTACCATATCTTTCCAGGTCAAGGAAATAACAGTGACAAAATGTAAAGGAAACCAGTGACATTTCTGATTAAGTGAGGAAAGTCAAATATGGCCAACATAAGTTCAGTGCAGCTCCAGTACTTATAAGCAGCTTGCACAGATTAGCAGGAGCTAAAGATGTGGTGAGATATTTCATCTTAAACCAGGTGAGCTTTCAATAAAGTTGCAACACTCCTTTGATATTTGAGGGAGAGACATTGCAAAATCGTTCTTCTGAAAAAGGACAAATGTCTATGCCCCAGCTGGTTTTGATGGAGGTATTACCCTAATGGGTTTCTGAAGTACAGAAAAGGTTTGGCTTCTATACTCCTCTTAAACCCAACCCTTGAATACCAGAAACCCAACACTCTGCACCTCCTACGAAATTTGCCTCGGTTTTCAGCTGCAACTGTCATTTCATCAGAATGGGACAAGGTTGGATTAAAGTTGAAGTAACCCTAATTAGAGGACAACACTCATTGGCTGTGAATTATTTTGAGTATCTTTCAGATTAATTTGAAAGCTTCTTAATTTGCATGACTCTACAGTGATTCACAGAAGTTAAACCTTAGGTTATGGGGAACCTGTGCTGACACTGATGTTGGCATCTAAATTGAAGACTAGAGGGGAACACACTGCTGTGAAAACACAAAGAAGGTTATTTCCCACTGCCCTGTACTGCCTTGGGTGATGGGAAACTACTTGCAGAATGCTGCAGTTGGATCTGATGATAACACTTTCCACTTGTGTTAACTGTTAACCCAGCTTCTGGTAATCCTAGTACCGGCAAAATAAAATCAGATTTGGAGTGCGAGTAATACAGGTTTCCCTCAGTTTATGCAGGTTCTGTATATGCAAATTCAGTCTTACACGATGACCCTTTTTATACCCAAAATTCATTATCTGAGAGGTAAATTCATTCTTATGCAGTCGGCATAGGCGCCCTCCCCCCCAAGCAGGTAAGTCTGCAGGGGGAAGGGGAAAGGCCCTGTTGCAGATGCTTTGGGAGCGGCCGACACCAGCTGCCTGCAGCTGCTGGGTTGCACCAGGCCCTAAACCCCGCAGGGCTCCTGCGTGCTGGGAAGAGCCCACGGCTGCCACCAGCACCAGCCAGCAGCAGCCAGCAGTGGCAGCCTGCTTTTGTCCCACATGAGGATCCAAGGGCACGTGCCCCCTGGGAAGAGCCCAGCAGATCCCTTAAGCCCATGGCCCTCCTGGGGTGCATGTAGCAACAAGAGCCGCACCCCCAGCCCCGCACCCATTTACAGTTCCCTCCACTTTGCTCCCTGCTGCAGCTCTGGGACCGGCTGATGGGCTGCACTGTATGCCTCCCCCAGGCCCTTTCATAGTCCCAGCTTTACTCCCTCCCTCCCTCACCACCTTGGGAATATATCCCTATTTCTTACATTATAAACTGGGTTCCCTTTATGCAAATTCAATTTATGTGCAGTTTTCCGAGAACGCATGTACTGCATAAATTGAGGGAAACCTGTATTACTTCCTTGGGAATAATCCACTTGGCAAATAATTCCTCATTTCTTAGGTTAATTTTAGTTAAAAATATTGGTTAATGACTGATATTGTTTACATTTTTTAAAGGGATCTACAGTAGGAACATATATAAAATGCTGACATGGAGAACCAAACATTGGTAAAGAATTTCATCCTCTTGGGGTTCACTGATGTGCAGAAATACCAGGGTCTTCTATTTTTGATTCTCCTGGTTACCTATATCTTGACCATAATGGGAAACATTGTGATCATCACCATCATCCTCCTGGACCATCGCCTACAAACCCCCATGTACTACTTTCTCTGGAACTTCTCCCTGTTGGAAATTGGTTTCACCTCCACCGTCATCCCCAAAGCCCTGTTCAACCTGGCATCAGGCAACAGAACAATTTCCATACCTGGATGCTTTGTACAAGTATTCCTCTATTTTGTCTTGGGTACTATTGAATTCCTCTTATTGGCAGTAATGTCCTTTGATAGGTATGTGGCCATCTGTCACCCTTTGTCCTACACCACCGTCATGAATGAGCGTGTTTGCAAAATACTTGTGCTGAGCTCTTGGATGAGTGGCTTTTTGATACTTATTGGACCATCACTTGTAGTATTCCAACTGCCCTTTTGTGGCCAAAATATCATTAACCACTTCTTTTGTGACAATGGACCCCTGATCAAACTTGCCTGTGCAGACACTAGACTCCTGGGACTGGTAGACTTCACAATAGCTGTGTTTTCTCTCCTGGGCACTTTTACCGTTACAATCCTGTCCTATGCCAGAATTATCTCCACTGTCCTGAACATCCCTTCTGCTTCTGGGAGACAGAAAGCCTTCTCCACCTGCATATCACATCTCACCGTTGTCTCCATCACCTATAGCAGCTGCATCTTCATGTACATCAAACCCATGGATAGCAGGGGGCTGGACCTCAGCAAGGGGGTGTCCATTCTCAATACAGTGGTGTCCCCTTTGCTCAACCCGTTCATTTACAGCCTGAGGAACAAACAGGTTCAGGAGGCTTTGAGGCAGGCTTTTGCCCACAGGACAAACATTTCAAAAGGACAAACGTTATAATGACAAAAGGAAGAGTGAAATAATGGAGTAAATTGTGGTTAATATAATATTAATGGCCATTATCAATATGTACTGATGGTTTTCTAAGCAAAATAATAACAGATATTCTGTTCTACTTTTGTGGGGGGGGTTTGGTTCCCATTCTCCTTGTCATTGACTGCAATATCATTGCTCCCATGTTCTTACTTACCATCTGTCCAGCTGTCTATCCAGTTTTCTAGCTTTCAGTGTCTGTTTTTTTCTTTCTTTCTTTCTTTTTTTTTTAATTCACTCACTTTCTCTCCAACAATGTTTCTCTGCCATGGGTCTTTATTTGGTTTTGCTTCAATCCTAAAATGAGTAATATACCACTAGGACTTTAGCATGTTAGCAAAGCCAGATCCAAGGAGAGTGCAGTGGAGCAGTAACACCCAGCTTCCATAGTGAAGGTGACCTTCCTGCAGCTCCATTGCTTTATGGCTTCAATGCCTGGGTCCCCTGTTATGTTACAAGCACAGCTGGAACTGTTAGCTGGACTGGGACACCTGGGTGGAGCAGGTGAGGAAGAGGGGACAGTGTTTTGTACTGACACCACCACCTGAATAATGCCCATCCATCGGTGCAGCTGCTCCCATCAGCAGGATTCCTTGAGCCAGAAGGGGAAATGCAGTGGAAGGGTAAGGAGCAGGGACCCAGCATCCTGTGAAGCCACTGCCCACAGCCCCTGACTGGAGTGAACATGAGCAGTCCTGGGTCTTTCCCTGCCCTGACAGCAGGGAAGACAGCAGAGCAAACGTGCTTCTCGGTGGTCTTACTCCCTGCCTATTCCCCAGGTGTTCCTTGTGGTCTGGGACTAGGCTCTGGAAAGGAGACTGCCCTGACACTGCTGATGTTCCCAGTCAAGTGTGGCACTGCAGGATGCTGCTTATCAATGCCCCTGGCTGAGGTGGGGCAGGAGCAGCCTTGGGGCTCCCCCAGCCCTGGATCAGCTATGGGCAGGCAACTGCCAGGCAAGCCCTGCTGCAGAGGGTGAGAGAGGAAGAGGGTACCTGCATTGGAGGGGCAAGGGTGCTGAGTGGTGGTGGGGTGGAGGGAGTCTACCTGCTTCAGGGTCTTCAAAAAGTTCCTGGCAATTGGGGGAAAGGGGGAAGGAAGGCAGACTTGCGACATATCCCACGCCCCCATGTTCAAATTCCTGCATCCACCTATGTGTGTTAGTAATGCTTCTAGTTTCTTTTTCACTGGAGAAAAATATTTATTGTCCTGTATGTGATGATACACCATGCCATTTGCACCCTCTCATTCAAAATTCTAGATCCATCCATGGCATCCCATCATGCCCCAATGAAGTATATAATAGGATTATTTTTATGTGCATATAGGTTTTTTCTTGGGTGGGGGACTGTTAGAAAAAAGAATTACAACATCCAATGATTATATCAACAAAGAGCACATAATGCTCCAGCTTTCATGAATTGGCTTCAGGGGTCATGATATAGAGCAGCTGAGTATCCAGTTTTCTCTATATAAATACAAATGAACCAAGACGTTTAATTTATATAACTTACATTTACAGTGCATAGCTAACAGGCAAATGTTCTAGTTAGCAGTAACTGTCAGCAAAGCTGTTCAAAATATATAAACCCTTTCTTAAAAGAAAATGGTACTGGAAAGTATTCCTATATATTTCATCCCATTAGCCTGTTCTGGGAGCATTAAAACTATACCAGGTACTGATATAAGATTACTAATCATGCATATTTCATGTTAACTAAAATTTTTCTGAATCTGTAGATTTACCCTGGAGAATAAGACAGTGATGAAAGAGTTCACACTCTTGGGCTCCACAGATATTTAAGATATTTAGGATATTTGTGTCTGTGTGTGTGCATGCACGTGTGCTTGGGGGTATGTGTGCATTCATGGGTGTGCATGGATACCAAACATCAGAGTGATCTTTCTGTGTATATTTCTGTTCTTAATTCCTTGGTTTCCTATCCACATGGTATTAACTTCATGAAGCTGAGAAGTGGATTTTGTCGGTTTGTTTGTAGCCCAGCACTGTTATGCCTACAATACCAAGCATGTTCTGTGTCTTCCTTTTGACCTGTCCTCCTATATGGAGAAAATGTTATTCTGAAAGTTTTTATGGTGGCTGCTGAAAAGCTCAAACTATTTTGCCCTTACCCAAGTGTGTGACTGAAAGTGTCGGATTAAAAACATGAAGGAAAGGAGAAAAAGTATAAAAGAGCTAAGTTTCATCCGTCTTTAGCATAACTACAGCCATCTGTTACACAAAGACTTGATAAAACACATTGTAATGATCACTATTCTATTTTCAATACACTGCATCAGTGTGGATCTCTCCCTCTCTTCATCCATCATTAAATCTCTCAATCTGTATTCCCACATAGCATCCCCATTCCTAGACACATGTGATGCCAGATTGATGGGTTTAAACATCCAATAGAGAAAAAAATCAGTATAGAAGTTCTAAATAATAAGAATACTCCTCACATGGCATGCAAGCTATATGGTACAGGATATAATACTCCATTTGTTTATATTATATCTAATTTACTACACGGTTATTTATTTCTCTGTTTTATTATCATAGATTTCATAGACATTAGGGCTGGAAGGGACCTCGGAAAATCATCGAGTCCAGCCCCCTGCCCCAGGGGCATAAAGTCAGCTGGGGTCACAGGATCCCAGCAAGATAAATGTCCAGTTGACTCTGAAAGGAGTTCAGAGTAGGTACTCGCACCACCTCTGGTGGCAGTCTCTTCCAGGTCTTGGGGGCTTGGACAGTAAACAAGTTTTTCCTTATGTCCAGCCCAAAACAGTCTTGGAGAAATTTGTGACCATTTGACCTTGTCACCCATGGGGCACTCTGGTGAACAGGTGTTCCCCCAGATCCTGATGTATACCTCTTATATATTTATAGGTAGCCACCAGGTCCCCCCTGAGCCTGCGCTTTTCCAGGCTGAAGAGGCCCATAGCTCTCAGCCTCTCATCATAAGGCCTGTTTTCCTGCCCTCTGATCATGTGCGTGGCTCTCCTCTGCACTCTTTCAAACTTCTCCACATCCGTTTTAAATTGTGGACCCCAGAATTGGATGCAGTACTCCAGCTGCGGCCTCACCAAGCCTGAGTACAGTGGGAGGATGATGTGCTGGGATTTGCTAGAGAAGCATCTATGGATACAAGCCAGAGTTTTGCTCACTTTGCCGGCTGCAACATCACATTCGTGGCTTATATTCATCTTGTGGTCAATCATGACCCCCAAATCCCTTTCAGCCATGGTGCTAGAAAGCATAGCACTGCTGAGCCTATAAGCATGCGGCGGGGTTTTCTCCCCAAGGTGGAGTACCTTGCATTTTTCAGTGTTGAAGGCCATCAGGTTTTTGTCCACCCATTTTCTGAACCTGTCCAGGTCAGCCTGGTTCACCATCCTGTCCTCGGGTGTGGATGCTTTACCTTAAAGTTTGGTGTCATCAGCAAACTTGGCCAGTCTACTTCTGACACCAATGTCCATGTCATTAATGAAGATGTTGAACAATATAGGCCCAAGGACAGCCTTGGGGGACCCCACTGGGGTCATGAATCTATTATGTTGTAGTTCTCAGCTTTCTCAAACAGGAAAAATGTGACTTTAAGAACACAAAGAATCAAAATATGAGCCTAAGGACATTTGCAAAATAATCATTCTGGGTAAAAATATCCAAATAATCACTCCAGGACTGAAAGGAGAACGGTATTTTTTAAACTGGTGGATATTTTTTAAGTTCAGAGGGATTGAAAATATTCCTGAATCAGGTTGAAATCAGCTTGAAATCTATGGAACACTTGAGCAAAAAAACCCAAAAAAACCAAAAAACAAGTTGAAGAAAAAAAGTAGATACAGTTAAAATATTTTATTTGAGGGTTTTTTTTTTAAAAATGGTGGGTTTGGAAATGCAAAGAGTCGTTCTTTATGCATGTTAAAATAAACATTTACTTTTATTTTTAGATGCCTTTATTGTGTTTGAAAATAGAGCTATAGTTACAGAAATGGAAAAGAAAGCTAGTTTTAGAAAACCATAAACATGAATAAATAGGAAAATTAATTTTTTAAAAATTCAAATCCCCCCCCCCCCATTCATTTTTGAGTGGTGGGGTTGGTCCATAAAAATGAAAACACACACATACACATGCACACCCCACCTCTACCCCCTCCATCTGGTACAGCACACAAGTCCTGCAATGGATTACACTTATTCTCAACATTTCATTGATGTCTTTCCTGACAGCATGTCTCAGTGTACTTGAAAACAATACCTTCTTCTTGACCTCTCCCAGACTCACAACCCAACCCTTCTTCCACAAGGCCTGCAATGGATTTCACTTATTCTCAACATTTCTTTGATTAGGTTTCTTTCCTGACAGTTTGTCTCAGCGTGATAGAGGAAAATACTAGGGGTGTGTTCAGCACCGGACAAGATTGCTGCTGCCACAGCCTGAGCCTCCTCTCATCCAGCACAGATCTGGGGGCTCGCACCCCCAGGGGGAGTCTGGCACAGCCCGGCAGCCCTCCTGGGGGTGTGAGCCCCTGGATCTATGCCCTGGATGAGAGGAGGTTCAGGTGGCAGGTGGCAGCAGCAATCTTGTCCGGTGCTGGGTGCAGCCCATGCCCAGCGCGTCCCACGTGGGATAGGCAGCCTGAGTCTCCTCTCATCCAGGGCACAGATCTGAGGGCTCGCACCCCAGGGATAGCTGACGGGATGTTCTGGACTGCTCTCAGTGGTGCAAACACCTGGATCTGCACACTGGATGAAAGGAGTCCCAGGTGGCAGCAGCAATCTTTTCCAGTGCTGGGTGTGGGCTGTGCCCAGTGCCGGTCCCAGGGGGGCAACGACAGTCTTCTCTCATCCAGAGCACAGATCTGGGGGCCTGCACCCCCAGGAGAAGTCTGGCACAGCCCCATAGTCCTGCTGGAGGTTCGGGCCCCTAGATCTGTGCACCGGGTGAGAGGAGGCTGCTGCTGCCAGCAAATGTCAGGACTTTTGCTTTGAAGAGTTTGAGGTGCAGTTTCCAGGATATCTCTGCACCTATATCCTTGAACCTTGGCAGGTTTCATGCCCTCAGAAGGGCCCTGGCTGGAGCGGGCAGAAACATTCCTGAGTCTTTCCATTCAATGGATCAGATAGAGACAGCGGTGGCAGTGGGATTCCCGGTGTTTCTGTTTTCTGCCTGCCTTGCAGGTGTCCCTTGTCTGGAACCAGAGGCTGAAAGTGGTAATGGCCCTGCAACTGCTGTTGTCCTCAGTCAACAGATCCCTAAAAGAAAGCTTTAATTTCAGCTTCAGGGTCAGCAACCTTGGGGAGGAGGCTGGAGGAGGAAAGAGGAGTTGTGTTTGTTTAAAGGCATTCAGAAATAAATGCAAAACAGAGTGCTGCCACACTGACATAGACCATGACAACTTTCAGAATCTCATTTCCCATGTGAAGGAGAACAGGTCAGAAGAAAGACATAGAACATGCTTGTAATTGCAGCCACATCCCTGCTGGGCCCACCAACCCCATCTACTTCTCAGCATAATGAAGTTGATACCAAAACTATCCACTTCTTAACTTGATATCACATAGAGATGAAGAGAGATGAAGGGAATTAAGAATACATTTAAACACAAAAGAATCATTTTGATGTTTGCTTTCCATCAATACACACCCATGCACACACCCACACACACATACCCACATGCACACATGCAAACACAAATGAATGTCCTCATGCATGCACTCCATGGACTCTGAGGAGATGGATAACCCTTAATTCGTTAATGTGGTCAGGTTTACACTTTTCATTTTCCACAAGATGTTCTGAAAGCTCCATGCTCAATTGACCCTACTCCTCAAGATACTTAGAGCATCCTTCTTCCTCAGGCTGCATATGAAGGGGTTGAGCACAGGGCAAGCCATGGTATTGAGAATGGCCACTGCCTTGTTGTTGTCCAGCCCACTTCTTTGCACAAGTCTGATGTACATAAAGACACAGCTCCCGCTACTGATGGAGACAATTGTGAGATGAGTGGCACAGCACAATAATAATAGTAAGCAGCAGAGAAAAATTAGCTGTCACAGAGCAGTTTCATCAAAAGCACAATGACAAAAAAATGGTTAAGAAAGTTAGGTCCACAGAAGAGCAACTAAAGAAGCATAATCATTAGAATAGAAAGGAGAAGGAAACCTTCGATCCAGGAGCCTAGAACCAACAATGTACAAACTCAAGTTCTCATGACAGGGGTATAGAGCAGAGGGTTGTAAATGGCCGTGTACCTATTGAAGGACATTTCTACTAATAGGAAGGATTAAGAAGTGCCCAGAATAAAATACAGAAAAAAATTACATAATACCCAAGAAAAGAAATTGCTGCTATGCCTAGTGCCAGGTTGGCCAGTATACTGGGGTTGATAGCAGAGCTGAAGCTAATTGCCAAGAGGGACAAATAGCTGGAGCTACAAAATACCTGGAAAGCTTCAGAGTATGAACTCTCTGATCCCTGTCTTGCTCTTCATGGTGAATCCACAAATGTAGAAAACCATTATTTAAAATGATATATGCAAAGTTACCAATCTCATACCAATTTATTGCATATTTTAAGGCTCCCAGAAAAAAGCTAACAGGCTGAAAAATTTCTAGTAGCATTTTCTTTTAAGAAAGAATTTATACATGATGAACAGCTCTGCTAACTCTTACTGCTAATTACAACATTCACCTACTAGCTATGTGTTCGTAGTTTAAATTATATACATTAGTCATGTCTTGGTTGCTTTTTATTTATATGTAGAAGCTGGGATACATAAGTGCTCTATATCATGACAGCTGAAGCCAGTTCATTTAAGCTGGAATCTTGCATGACAATTGGTGATATAATCATTGGATGTTGTCATTTTTCTAACACTCCCCCATCCAAGAAAGAATCCTATATATGCATATAAAATACTCCTATTATATATTTCACTGCGGCATGGGTGGATCTAGGATTTTGAAAAGAAGTGGGGTGCAGATGGTGGCTGTGCAATAGGAAAAGATACCCTAAAGCAAAATTGCATAAGAGGATTGCTTGATTAACAGGACATGAGGGCCATAAAAAGGAGAGAGGGCCATTAACAGCTATGGCTAAAAGAGTGATTAGAAAAATTCAAGCAAATGATATTTAAGCCATTTTTTCCCCCTTAGTGAGTGCTGGGTGGAGTAAGCATCAGAGTAGGGTTATGATGACACAATTGCTGTCCATGGATCTTCTCCTGCCAGACAATAATTTATGTGCATGAATATCTATCAATATAAATATGTTATATACATTTATAAGTGCATATATATATATATATATATATATATAAGCTCATGTATATATTATGTTTATATCACCAATGATATAACTATGTGGTCAGACATTTTAAACTAGGCTGGAACGGGCGGAGGCAGGGGGTGTCATATATATCCAGTTAAAATTCACAGAGAAACATAGTCGGGGAGAGAAAAGAGGGAGATAAAAAAAAGAAATGTACATAGTCAGCTAGACAATGGTACAGACGGTAAGGAAGACTATGGAAGGAATGGTTTTGCAATCGATGACACAGATAGTGGAAACAAGCAAAAACAAACAAAAAAGTGGAATAGGGGACTTGGAACAGAATATCTACCATTATTTTGCTTAGAAAACCATCGGTACATAGTGATTATAGCCATTATTGTTATATTCATCAAATTGCCTCCATTGTTTCATGCCGTTATAGTTTGTGTCTTTTTGAAAAAAACTGTCCTCTGGGCAAAAGCCTGCCTCAAAGCCTCCTGAACCTGTTTGTTCCTCAGGCTGTAAATGAACGGGTTGAGCAAAGGGGACACCACTGTATTGAGAATGGACACCCCCTTGCTGAGGTCCAGCCCCCTGCTGCCCGCAGGTTTGATGTACATGAATATGCAGCTGCTATAGGTGATGGAGACAACGGTGAGATGTGATATGCAGGTGGAGAAGGCTTTCTGCCTCCCAGAAGCAGAAGGGATGTTCAGGACAGTGGAGATAATTCTGGCATAGGACAGGAGAGTGCTCAGGAGAGAAAAAGTAGCTGCTGCAGAACCTACCAGTTCCAGAAGCCTGGTGTCTGCACAGGCGATTTTAAACAGGGGTGCGCTGTCACAGAAGAAGTGGTTAATGATATTTTGGCTGCAGAAGGGCAGTTGGAATATTGCAAGTGATGGTCCAATGAGTAGCAAAAAGCTACTTGCCCAGGAACTCAGCACTAGGAGTCTGCAAACACACTCATTCATGATGGTGGTGTAGGACAAAGGGCGACAGATGGCCACATACCTATCAAAGGACATCGCTGCCAGTAAGAAGAGCTCAGTAGTACCAAAGACAAGATAGAGGAATGCTTGTACAAAGCATCCAGCTACGGAAATTGTTCTGTTGCCTGACGCCAGGTTGAACAGGGCTTTGGGGATGACGGTGGAGGTGAAACCAATTTCCAGATTTAAGAAGTTCCGGAGAAAGTAGTACATGGGGGTTTGCAGGCGATGGTCCAGGAGGGTGATGGTGATAATCACAATGTTTCCCATCATATTCAAGATGTAGGTAAGCAGGAGAATCACAAAGATCAGACTCTTCAAGTTCTGTACTTCAGTGAAGCCTAAGAGGACAAAATTCCTGACCATGGTCTGGTTCTCCATGACATCATATTAATGTTCCTGCAGGGGACGTAGAAAACATTAAACATACTATTTCCTTTGGAAAATGCCATTTTCTGTCTATTGACTGAGAGGAAATATTGAAATGTTCTGGACCAGATTTTTAGCCGGTATAAGTCAATAGAGCCCATTGGACTCTGTAGAATATAACTGCTCGTCACACCAGTGCTTTTTTGTCCCTGACAACGTTAGAGTTCTCTGTCCTTTGGCTCAAGTTCCAGTGTCCCAAGCCAGAAGAGTGGAAATAAAGCTTTGCTACATTTCAGGGTAAATTGAGTTAGATCCAGTCAATTTAAACCACTGATTGAAATCATGATTTAAATCACCAAGCCAAAAGCCTGATAGAATAATTATTTTTGATCAACTTTCCCACTATTTGTGTGTGTATTTGTTTTTTAAAGAAAGGTGAATTATCATTGGTTGATATAACAATTAAAACATGTTGATTTACAACTACATACATATTTTAACTGTAGATGCGGTACATACAGTTTCTACTTACACAAGCTAGGGATGTGTGTGTGTGCGTGTGTTTATCTAGCTTAATATATTCATATTGCTAGAAATCCTACATTTTAATATGTTCTAAAATGGTGAAATATGTATCTTCCTCCCTAGATGATTAACTTATTGCCCATATGTGTATCAAGATGCATTGAGATGACAACTTGAATTTACTTAAGCACACAAAACCAGCACTTGGAATTTACTAAACAAAAAATTAATGTTTTTGATACAGAAACTCTATTTTTTTAACAAAACATGGTACACATTTTCAACTAAATTATTAAGTCCAGTATTAACTGTTACAGTATTAGAAGTATGAACTGTGAATATTGAATTAAACTATTTATTTCAAATCACTCTGGGGTATATTTTCTAAAATGCCTATGTAAAATTTATTTGAGCTTATGTTCCTGCTTGCCTAATTCTCTTCCAAATGACAAAAGGAATTGCTTTATGTAGGCTTTTTTCAAGATTTTTACGCCCTTTCTTTCAAGTTTTTGAAAGACCAGACCAAAATCGAAAAAGCTTTCCTGCTTTTTCCAACTCCCAACTTATTTCTCAGCTTTAAGTGAAAAGCAAGCCCAAAAGGAAGAAAATCCTTTTTCTTCACCTGTAGAAGAGGCTACTGCTGGTAAAATCTTCAACAAACTCTGTCTAGTTCCAGGTGCTTTACTAGTGACTTAAAACATCCTGAGAAAACATGTCTTGTTTGAATGGTTGACCTGTAACTCTGAATTTTGCTATGGTTTGTATGATTGATGAGTGATTAGTAGAGGCCCATATTATAGCAGCATTCCTCTCTTTGGCAGTTAGGCATCTACCCTGGTATTTTGTGTTAAAAATCTTGGGAAGAAAATAGGGTGGAGTAAGTGCTTGATCCCTCCACTTCTTTACTGCCTGCAATTTAACTTTGCTGCTGGGTATGTCTTTTCTTAATGGTTCTTGAAGTTCTTTCCAAATTTCAACAGCATCTGCAATACAGCTGCAATTTTCTGTCGTTTGTCTGAGGCTATGGACATAGGTTTCAGTGTATTCAGCATAACTTCTACACTTCACCTTTGGTCAATGTTGACTACTCTAGCTGTGACTTTTCCATCATTTTGTCATCATTTTCTTTACAGATGGGCATCAGAAGATGACAGTTGTTAGATGTTTCCCCCCTCATTCTTATATACATGAAAATCAGGTTTTAACTGCAGAGGTTTTAGTAGAGGCTCATTGACACATCTAAGTTTATTTATAATATTTAATAGCTTATACTAAAGGTATACCTTAGCCTATGCTGTATTAAATTGAGATTTCATTTTAATCTGGTTATTTTTTTAAAAGGAAAACTTGATAATAATTTAAAT